TAATAGTGAGGGACTAACAATTTTGAATTTTATGGAAGCTTACCATTGAAATACTCAGATAATTGCCTATCATTTTTGCTTTACTTGTATGGACAATGGACGGAAAATCTTTGTGCTTTTTCTATTTACTACCGTGTCATTCTTGTTGAATACACTATAGGGACCTACTAATGCATATACATGGTAACTCTTTCAGAAGCAAAGTGCCTTCACTTAAAAAAAGAAAAACTATGAAGAGAGGGATTGCTTTCTCCCTTGGGCTTGTCCAAAAGCTTCATTTTCATGGTGACATGTTTCATCTATAATGGAACCATATGCAAGAAGCTATCTCAGGAAAGGACCTATTCTGTTCACTGCCTCCAGATATTATTTCTCCTACCTGATTTCTGACCACTGACACACTTTTATTAATGCTAAGAATGCTAAATTTTTAAGTAAATGATCCAAGCTATGGATAAAGGAATAGTACACACACAAACAACACAAACAGTGTGAGATAGATGTTTTTGTTTATAAATTGTATGTAAAAAAAAAAAAAAAACCTTTAAGTCAAAAAATTTAAACCACTTTACTGACTTGTCAGAATTTACTTAGCAAAGATATGAAAAGCTGTTCACTAGAAGCTGCCAGTTAGGAGACCTAATTCAAGTCTTGGCTTTGCCAGCAATTTGCCATAAATCTTTGGGTAAATTGCCTGGTCTTTCAACATTTTTCTGTCCACTGGGTAACAACTGAAAGGATTAGACTAGAATGGACTTGAAGGTTCTATTCTGACATTTTGTGCTGGAAAGATTCAATTTCTGATCTTCAACACATTTTAATAAATCTTAATAATATCCACACATTTGCATACTACTTTATGGCTCACAAAGTGCTTTCACTTATATGATCTCTTTTAAATCCTCCAGTGCCTGAGAGTTAGGCACATTTCATGGAAGTGAGAACAAGCACAGAGAAGCTGCAACTTATCTAGGGTCAGAGTCACTGACAGGGCAGAGCTGGATAGACAGGTCTTCCTACTCCCAAATTCAATTTTTTTTCCTACTATATTTGGCTACTTCAAGGTTATGGTAATATGGAAGCATGATTAGTTAAGCTTTTGTTGAATCATAAAGTAATGTGGTAGCATTAAAAAAAAAAAAAACCTCTGGATTACAGTCAAAGAACTAGATTTCACTGACAATTCTGACACTCCTTGGTGGGGGTAGGGGGTCATTTAACCTCTCAGTCTCAGTTTCCTCATCTGTAAAAAAGGAGCTTGGATATATCACTTTGAGGATTCCTTCTTATTAGAATTCTTATTTTCTTCTTAATGACTTTATAAATTAATACTGTTTCTCAATTAATATTAAAATGAAGTTTTATTTGATAAACTGTAAGAAGTTTTTATAAAGCACAATAAGCGAGCACTGACATTAGCTATTATGCTCTCTGATCACAGATATATTTAAAACTTTGGACTAGTATTATTGACTGAACACCACTTTCCAACAAACTGGTTAACTTAAGATTTCACAGAGGGGGCCTCCCCGGTGGCGCAGCGGTTCAGCACTGGGTTGCAAAGCTGCCCACAGCCTCTGCAGCACCGGTTCGATCCCCGGCCACCGGAGAAGGGTCCCACATGGCCCACAGACCTCTCCTGCCGCCCGCTGCTCCCCTCAGCAGTGTGCTTCGGTCCCTCTGCCTGCTCTGCTCCCTGCTCTGACTCTGGTGAATTCTCTCACCCTCCCGTACCTCTGACTGTACCCAGTGCTTGTATGAATAAATAAATAAATCTTAAAAAAAAAAAAAGATTTCACAGAGGGGTAAATTATTTTGGTTGTTTTAAGCAGACTCTATTTGGAGTTGCATTTTCAGAGAGGTCTTGAGTTGAGAGATCCATTTGGAACTCGGATTAGAAAACCTAAAGGAACTCATTGTAAATAACTTTGGCCCTCTCTTCATGTGCTGAATGATAGCTCTTCCATCTGATATAGACTCTTATTGTCATGCATACTCATTGTTCTGGTAGCTTATAATTAGTAGACATTTCATTTTTAGATAAAGGGGAAAATCGCTTGAAAACAGTGGAGGATATGATGGTGAGTATTTCAAGAGTTAGGGACAAAGAAGAGTTTTGAACCTGCTGCTTCGTTGCCCGCCTCCCTGTTTGAGTAGAACATTGTAACTTTTGAAGCTAACATAGAATGATGATAACTGGCTTGCTGAGCTGGTGACTTTATGCACAAATAAGCTTTGTTGGGACTTTCCTTATTTGTAATGGTGCTGTTACAGCGTGGGATGTTATTCAGCTCCAAACAACATTCCATTTAATAAGTAGGCATTAGTTCACCCATTTAATCAAAGCCATCACTAACAGATAAGTATCGCCCTTTTCCTTGGCCTCATTTGTCTCTTCTGCTCAGCATACAAAGCATGGCAATAGCATGGCTCTTGAACAAGAAGGCTGGAGGGAGGATAGATTGAGCAGTGATGACAAACATTCTGCCTAGTCAGAGAAATGAAATTTTCTGGTAATCTTTTCCTTCCCTCAAACATAAATTTAACTACTTCCCAATCAGTACTTTGTTCCTTTAGAAACAAAATAAAAATAGCAAAACAAATAACAGTCCTGTCTACTTATTTCTTAGGCACCAAGGAAATGAAAATATATGGAGAGGGATGAAAAAGTATATACCAAAATATATAAGAATGGTTTTTGCAGAATTGTTTATAATAATCAAAACTGAAAACAATAGTGTCCGTCAGGGGTAAAATAGATAAATTATGACAAATTTATACAATAGGAACTACTGCTTTGCTCAACATGAATAACTCTCAAAAGCACAATGTTGAGAGAAGGAAGCCAAACTCAGGAGTGTATACTGTATAAATCCATCTACATAATGGGGAAAACTTAGCAAAATTAATCAATTGTATTAGAAGAAGGGTTATGGTTATCCTTGGAGAGGAGTAAAAGGGAAAGATTTAGAAAAGCAAGCAAGGTGGCTTCTTAGTACTAGTAATTACTTTTTGATCTAAAAGATTAATACATGGGTATGTTCACTTTTCATCAAACTCTACACTTAATTTTGCTTCCTTTCCCGACTATGTGTTGTACTTCAATGAAAAGTTTACTTAAGGGCCTCCCTGGTGGTGCAAGGAGTTAAGCACTGCACTATGAAGCAATCTGCAGCCTCTGCAGCACGAGTTTGATCCCCGCCCCACCAGGGAGCAACCCACATGGCGCAGCAGACCTCTCCTGTCTTGCCCGCTACTCCCCTCAGCAGTGTATTTCAGTAGATCTGCCTGTTCTGTTCCCTTCTGTATCTTTGGTGAATTCTCTCACCGGCCCCCACGCCTCTAGCCTATACCCCATCTCTTGTATGCATCAATAAATAAATCTTTAACAAAAAGTTTACTTAAGAATTATGTTAGAAATGAGAAACTATTTTAGTTAGATTGAGTCTGAGGTCTACAGGCTTCAACTCAATTAAGTCTCACTGGCAACTGAAAAGTCAGTTTTATTTACATATTAATAAATTAATTTATTATTTGTAATTCACTTTTGGTTTTAGAATAGATTGAAATTTGCAGAAAAGTTGCCACTGGTACAGAGAAGTCCCATGTATCACTCATGCATTTTTCCTTTTATTGTTACCATTACAATAGTACATTTGTAACAACTAATGTTGGCACATTACTATTCATACAATTCCACTCTTCATTCGTTCTGATTTCACCAATTTCCACTAATGTCCTTTTCATGTGCCAGATCTTATTCAAAATATTATATTACATTTAGTGGGCCTATCTTTAAGTTTCTGTCAGGCCTGTGATAATTTTTTAGTTTTTAGTTTTTCTTTTTTAACTGGATAGTTTGTTCAGGTCTTTTGTAGGACACCTGGTTTTTCTCATGTTTCCTCAAGATTAGACTGGATTTGCAGATTTGAAGAAGAATATCACAAATGACCTGCCCTTCTCATCACATGTCAGATGTGATTTCTCAATAGTGGTGTTAACGTTCCTCTGGTCAAGGTAGTATATACCAGATTTCCCCATAAGAAAGTCAATTCTCCCACCTTTTCATGTTTTTTGGAAGCAAATAATTAAATGTTGGTCACCCTCGTGGTTCTAGGGGTGGGATAGGGATTAAGTTTCAATTCCTTTATAAAATTTCCATTTTATATACAATATATACTGCTTATCATAAAGTGTTCAGTTCACATGTTTAATTTAGAAACAAATCTTACCATTTACCTCTTTAAGAGCAATTAGATAAAAAATAACGTGTAGTTAATGTCTTCGTTATTAGATGTTTCTCATCTTACTGGAAACCATGCAGCAAGATAAATAGGACACAAACTAAAAAAAAAAGGGATGGGTGGGTGGGTGATATTGTTACCTACTGAAAATAAATATAATTGAGTAAGAGAGATCATGACAGCATGTGCATCCGAAGCAGTGATCAGAGACTTCCGAACGTTGGGGGGAAATAAGACCGCGGGAACGGTTTGTATCTGGGGCAGAAGAGGTTCTGCTCTAAGCATGAGTTATGCCTTAAGAGCGCCAATCATTTAAATTCCACTTTCTTCTGAGGACCTCACCGCCGGTCAGTCCTACGCAATACCCGACCCACCAACTGCGCACTACACGCAGACGGCGTGGACGGGCTGAGTTCCGCTTTGGATTTGCAGCTGAGTGGATTCCCCCGCCGTGGAGTAAGCAGCAATTCGCAAGACACGCCCGGGACTGGGCAGCCAGTAGGAAGTTGCACCGCTCTGCCTGGGAGGGGGCGGTCCCGACGCGCCGATGGCCTCCCGCGAAGGCAGCGCCCCGCCCCCGTACCGCCCCGCCCCGCCCATCGCCCCGCCCACACCCCCGCCCCTCCGCTCCTAGCCCCGCCCCTCCGCTCCTAGCCCCGCCCCCGGCCCCGCGGCCGCGTCTTCCTTCCGGGTCGCGCTGGGCCGGGCTCGCCGCCGCCGCGCCGCAGCGCGGGAGTCTGGGAGCCGCCCCCGCGCTCGGCCTCGCGGTGTCGCCTGGTCGCTGGCCTGGCGAAGCCCCCGGCGCGCGCCTCTCCCGGACCCTGCAGGGTACGGCCCTTCCTCTGCTTCTCCCTCCTGCAGGTCTCCGTCTTCCTCCCTCGGCGCCGGGGCGGGGCCGGGCCAGGACGGAGCGCCGTTCCTTCCGAGCCCGGGCTCCGGGCCGAGGTCCCCGCCCGTCGCCCCGCCGGGGCCGCCCGCGCCGCGCTTGCTGCCTTGCGGGGGGCGGGGGGCCTGGAAGCAGCTTAGTGGCCTTGGGCGCTGCTCTGCTGCACCCGCCGGTCCGCAGGGCCCGAGGCGTCGCCCGGGCTGGCAGGGCCCAGGGTGTTTACAGCTCGGTGTCTGCGGGCCGTGCTGACTCTGCAGCCCGAGTCGGGGCCCTGCCCACCTGTGTGCGTGTTGCCTGTGCGTGCGCCCTTCTTTCTCTTTGGCACCCCATGGATTTTTCCTAACCAGGCCTGTGTCTTCAGGAATGCCACAAGATACCCGGCAACAAGCTTGCTTCTGAGTTAAGGGGTGGCCTTATTAGCGTGTAGGGTGAGATGACCACCCACTTGGCCTCCTTGTCAACCTGTTTCCATTGGGAGTGATTTTGCATTTCCCTGGTTTCCCAAACGCCCATTGCCACTTCAGCCTCGGTTGCACTCACTGCTTGAGAGAGACAAATAGAAAGTCAAGATGATAGAAACCTGTGGGGCAGGTAGTTGAGTCTTGGCTCTCTGCCCCGGAGGACTCACCAGCACCAGGTGCAGATATCTTGCTTCTGTTATATGACAAACTGCCTTTGCTGCTTTCTGGTGTGCACTATTTGGTTTTTTAATTTTTCTTTTTTAAATCATGTTTACTGAGATCAAGTTGGTGTCCATCGGTGCATCTTCGGGGGCTATAGGTTCAACCGTCCACTAATACATATCTTCACACCATCACTTAAGCTTCTCAAATTCAGAATATAAACACATTGTTTCTTTAAAGCCCACATTATGTTTCTATTGTCGCATGTATTGTATCTGTTGGGTGAGTAGAGGGAGACTTTCCTGATACATCAATGCTCCTATAGGCCTTTATTGATAATTTATTCTGGGGGGTGGGGGGAAAGGGAAGTGTAGTTGTCTTTCAAATGGCAGCATGCATCATCCAACAGTGGGCACTTTAATTGTTTAAGGAATTCTTTTTCCTCATTTCTTTCTGAGTACTACATTAAAAAAAATTCTCAAAATTTGGCTTTCCTGAGCTCTGCGTTTTCAGCCTCTTCCCTTCTCTTACAGATTTGAAAATTCAGAGATCAGCTAAAATTAACATGGTCAGAGAAATTAACTTGGTTAATTTCTTTTTACTAATGCCATGATGCAGTAATGCAGTTATAGGCCACTGTACAATGACATCTTAAGATGTTGCTAACTACTTACCTTTTACTTCCAAATAAGATCAATCCAAATAAGATCAATCTGTTAACATAAAATGCCCCTTCTTTCTTATTGGGATAGTTGCGTTGTCTTCTTAATTGTCCTGGAATCAACATTCTCCACCTTCCTGGAGTCCTCTTAGACCTTCTGCCACATGAGTTGTGTATAAAAACCACCCTGTCTTTTCTTATATTTTAATGATCTTATTCTTCGTATCTAAGTTTTTAACTTACCTCAGCAATATTTCAGTGTGAGAAAAGTTTTTTTCCCCTTCCAAAATTGTTAGCCAATGACCTCATCATCTTTTGAATTCCTTTTCCCCTACTAGTAGCAAATACTGTAGTCTAGGCTTTAATTTTTGGAACTTTTTCTGAACTGTTGTTACAGGTGGTCGCTGGTATCCTATGCCATCATGCTAGTCTTATATCTAGTTTTATACTGTCAGCTGCATCTGTGGGTTCCACATCCTTAGTTAGATTCAACCAATCTTACTATGACTTTTTTGTTGGTGGTGTTCCCTAAACAATACAATATAACAACTATTTACAAAGCATTTATGTTGTGTTAGGTATTGAAGTACATGGAATGGTGTGCATAAGTTTTGGGTTTTTTTAAAAGATTTTTATTTATGCATAGAAGAACAGGAGTGTATGTCGTGGGAGGGGGGGGTGTGGGTGGTGAGAGAATTCACCTGAGACAGTGGGGAACAGAACAGGCAGATCTACTGAAATACACTGCAGAAGAGAGTAGCAGGCGAGGCAGGGTGGGTTAGCTCTCTGTCCCTAGATAGCCATGTGGGTTAGCTCCTCCCCATGTGGGTTAGCTCCTTGGCCTGTGATCATATGCAAGCTGCAGTGGCTGGCCTGTGGCTTGATAGTGCTGACACTTTAACCCCTGCACAGCCAGGGAGGCCCCTGATGTGCATAGGTTGTGAGCAAGTACTCTGCCTTTCTGTTTTAGAGAGTTGAGCATTGGTAGATTTTAGTATCCACGGAGTCCTGGAACCAATCCTCCAAGGATACTGAGGGACAGCTATAATGTGTTATAATATCTAGTGATTCAAACTGGCTGGCATATTGTGGACATCACTAAATATTTTTGGAATGAACATTAATGGGGGGTATGTTGATATCCTTTTTTATCCCCTGTCACTTTTAAAGTTTTTTACCTACTCTTGAGAATTTTTTTAGCCTACCATTTCCCTAGTTAGTTGATTCATTAACTATTGTTAAATAAATCTCTGTTCCTAAATCAGAATTTCCCTTGTAGAGTTGCTCATCAGAGTTCTTCATAAAGAAGCTGCTTGACTCAAAAATCTGCATGTCTTTTGGCTTTGCATTGTATATTATTAATAAGTATGGTGTGTCTGTCCTGATCACCTATAATTCAGGATGTTGAGTAGCTCTATAAGTGCTTGTAGAAGTAATGGTTGGGGGGGCCTGCCTGATGGTGCAGGGGTTAAAGTCTCAGTGCGATCAGCTATCAGCAGCCACTAGGTATGAGTTCAATCCCTGGCCAGGGAGGTGACCCACATGGCTCAGCAGACCTCTCCTGTCTTGCCCGCTGTTCCCCTTAGCAGTGTATTTCAGTATATCTGCCTGTTCTGCTCCCCACTCTGTCTCTGGTGAATTCTCTCATTGACCCCTCCCCTCACCTCTGGCCTACACCCCAGCTCTTGTATGCATAAATAAATAAAATAAATCTTTAAAAAAAAAAGTGATGGCTGGGGTGGCTTCAGTTCCAGTTGTATTTTACCATCTCAACTGAACTTTTTTTTTTTTTTAATGTTTATAGATCCTCAAAGCTATTCAAATACTATGAAGGATGAAAAGTTTTAAAATAGAGCATAAGAACATTTGGATTCTTTGTTTTCCCCCACCATCATCCCTTATATCCTTTTGACCTCTTTTTCCTCTTAATCTCAGAAGCCTCACTTACTCTTTTAGTATCTGCTAGTTTAAGTGTTTTATAAGTATTTTGCTTAGTCAGATCATCACCTATGTAAAGTCCAATATTTGACTTTGTTTTGACTTGTATTACTGCACATAATTCTCTTGAATTCTATCTTGCTGTAAATGGCAACATTTTGTTTTACTTACACCTGAATAATACTCCTTGGTGTGGATATACCACATCATAATCCAGTCCTCTGTTGAAAATTTGGGTGTTGTAAATAACAGTATAATAGCATTGTAGAGCATATAGTATTTTGAGTTGCTGGTTTCATGTTCTTCAGATAGATGCCTAAGAGTGGATTGCTGGATCATGGGGTATTTCCTTTTTTTTTTTTTTTTGGTTTTTAGAATTGTTTCAAAACGGACTGCACCAGATTATATTCCCACTAACAGCATAATAATAGGGTTCTTCTTTGCTTTCTCTCCAACACTTGTTTTTATTTTTTATTTATTTATTTATTTTTTTAAATATTAAATTTTATTTTTATATTCCCCCATACAATTGCAAACGCCCCATTCTGACCCCAAACCCTCCCCTCCCGCCCCCCACCCCCCAAAAAGTGTCTCTGGTTCATAGTTTTTTGTTGATTTTGATTTTCACTTTCTTATATTCATTTTCCTGGTCCCTTATTTAAGTTTTCTAGATTCCTGCTATGAGTGAGACCATCCGGTATTTTTCTTTTTCTTTTTGGCTTATTTCGCTGAGCATGATCCCTTCCAGTGCCATCCATGTTGCTGCAAATTGCATGTGTTTATCTTTTTTGAATGCTGAGTAATATTCCATGGTATATATGTACCACATCTTCTTGATCCAGTCATCTATTTTTGGGCATTTGGGTTGTTTCCAAAGCTTAGCTATTGTAAACAGTGCTGCTATAAACATAGGAGTGCAGGTGCTCTTTGGAATTGATGTTTCTGTGTCCTTTGGGTAAATACCTAGGAGTGGAATTGCTGGATCATATGGAAGCTCTATGTTTAGTAGGTCCAGAAATCTCCACACAGCTCTCCATAGTGGTTGGACCAGTTTGCACTCCCACCAACAGTGCACAAGAGTTCCTTTTTCTCCACATCCTCGCCAACATTTGTTGTTGCTAGTTTTTTTAATATGTGCCATTCTCACTGGTGTGAGATGGTATCTCATGGTAGTTTTGATTTGCATTTCCCTGATGACAAGTGATGTTGAACATTTTTTCATATGTCTGTTGGCCATTTGCATTTCCTCTTCAGAGAAGTTTCTTTTTAGCTCTTCTGCCCATTTTTTGACTGGATTATTTTCTTTGTTGTTGCTGAGTCTCATCAGCTCTTTGCAGATTTTTGTGATCAGTCCTTTATCATTAGTGTTGGGTGCAAAAATGTTCTCCCAGTTGGTGGGGTTTTTCTTTGTTTTTGTTATTGTCTCTTTTGCTGTGCAGAAGCTCTTTAATTTGATGTAGTCCCAGCTGTTTATCTTTCTCTTCACTATCACTGCTTTGGGTGATGTGTCTGTAAAGATGTCTTTGATGTGCAAATCCCGTAGTGTTTCGCCTATATTTCCTTCTATGTATTTTATGGTTTCAGGTCTTATGTCTAGTTCTTTAATCCATTTTGAGTTGATTTTTGTGTATGGTGTGAGGTAGTGGTCAAGCTTCATTCTTTTGCATGTAGCGACCCAGTTTTCCCAGCACCATTTATTGAACAAACTTTCTTTGCTCCAATGCATAGTCTTCGCTCCTTTGTCAAAGATTAGTTGACCATAAATCTGTGGGTTTATTTCTGGATTTTCTATTCGATTCCATTGGTCTGTATGTCTGTTCTTGTTCCAATACCATGCACTTTTGATGATTATGGCTTTGTAGTATAGTTTGAAGTCTGGGAGTGTGATGCCTCCATTTCCTTCTTTTTTTTTCAGTAGAGCTTTGGCTATTCGGGGTTTTTGGTGATTCCATATGAATTTCATCAATAATTGTTCTATTTCTTTGAAGAATGCCATTGAGATTTTGATTGGAATAGCATTGAATCTGTATATTGCTTTTGGTAGGATGGCCATTTTAATAATGTTTATTCTTCCAATCCATGAGCAGGGGATGTCTTTCCATTTCTTTGTGTCTTCTTCTATTTCTTTTAACAGTGTTTTATAGTTTTCTTTGTATAGGTCCTTTACCTCTTTTGTTAGATTTATTCCCAAATATTTGATTTTTTTTGTTTCGATAATAAAAGGGGTGGTTTTTTTGATTTCTTCTTCTTCAGATTTATTGTTTGTGTATAGGAAGGCTACTGACTTTTGCGTGTTGATTTTGTATCCTGCCACTTTACTGAACTGATTGATGAGTTGAATTAGTTTTTCTGTGGAGATTTTGGGGTTCTCTATGTATATTATCATATCATCTGCAAATAGTGATAGTTTGACTTCTTCTTTTCCTATTTGGATTCCTTGGATGTCTTTCTCTTGTCTTATTGCTCTGGCTAGGACTTCCAGTATTATATTGAAAAGCAGTGGTGAGAGTGGACATCCTTGTCTTGTTCCAGATCTTAATGGAATTGCTTTCAGCTTTTCACCATTGAGAATGATACTGGCTGTTGGCTTGTCATAGATGGCCTTTATGATGTTGAGGTATGTTCCTTGTATCCCAAGAATTTCAAGGGCTTTTATCATGAATGGGTGTTGCACTTTGTCGAAAGCTTTCTCAGCATCTATTGATATTATCATATGGTTTTTATATTTCTTTTTGTTGATGTGTTGGATAACGTTGATTGATTTTCGGATGTTAAACCATCCTTGTGCCCCTGGAATGAATCCAACTTGGTCGTGGTGAATTATCTTATGGATACATTGTTGGATTCTGATAGCTAAAATTTTATTGAGGATTTTTGCATCAGTGTTCATTAGGGAGATTGGCCTATAGTTTTCCTTTTTTGTGTTGTCCTTATTCGGTTTTGGTATTAGTGTAATATTGGCTTCATAGAACGTGTTTGGTATTGTCCCTTCCTTCTCAATTTTTTGGAAGAGTTTGTGAAGGATAGGCACTAATTCGTCTCTGAATGTTTGGTAGAATTCATTTGTAAATCCATCAGGTCCTGGGCTTTTGTTTTTGGGGAGGTTTTTAATTACCATTTCAATTTCGCTGCTTGTAATTGGTCTGTTTAGGTGTTCTATTTCTTCTTTATCTAGCTTTGGGTGATTGTAGAGTTGTAGGAATTTGTCCATCTCCTCTAGATTGTTGAACTTGTTTCCATATAACTGTTCATAGTAGTTACTGATTATTCTTTTGATTTCTGCTGTGTCCGTTGTGATTTCTCCTCTTTCATTTATGATTCTGTGTATTTGTGCTTTCTCCCTTTTTTCCTTTGTGAGCCTGGCTAGGGGTTTGTCTATTTTATTTATTTTTTCAAAGAACCAGCTCTTGGTTTCATTGATCTTTTGGATTGTTTTTTTAGTTTCAATTTCATTTATTTCTGCTTTGGTTTTTATTATTTCTTTTCTTCTACTGGTTCTGGGGTTTTTTTGTTGTTCTTTTTCTAGATCTTTGAGCTTCGAGATTAGGTTGTTTCTTTGAGTTCTTTCTTGTTTTTTGATGTGAGCTTCTATTGCTATATATTTTCCTCTTATTACTGCTTTTGCTGCATCCCATACATTTAGGATATTGGTGTCCTCCTTGTCATTCAATTCAAAGAATTTTTTAATTTCTTCTTTGATCTCCTCGTTAGTCCAGTGGTCTTCCAGTAGTGTGGCTTTTAATCTCCATGAGGTAGGATAGTTCCTTGCCTTCTTTTTATGATTTATTTCTAGTTTGATGCCTTCGTGGTCAGAAAAGATGGTTGGTATGATTTCAATCTTGGTGTATCTGTTGATGTTTGTCTTGTGCCCCAGTATGTGATCGATCCTGGAGAATGATCCGTGTGCGCTTGAGAAAAATGTGTACTCCGTTTTTTTTGGGTTTAGTGTTCTATAGATGTCTGTTAAGCCCAAATGCTCTAGGTCCTTATTTAGAGCTTTAGTTTCTTTACTTATTTTTTGTCTTGTTGATCTATCCATTGTTGATAGTGGTGTGTTGAAGTCTCCCACTACATATGTGTTTTCTCTGATGTCTGTTTTCAGAGAGGACAACAGTTGTCTGATATATTTTGGTGCTCTTTCGTTTGGTGAGTATATGTTAATGAGTGTTATTTCTTCTTGAAGTATTGTCCCCTTAATCATAATGTAGTGACCATTGGGGTCTCTTTTTATTTTTTTGAGTTTGAAGTCTGTTTTATCTGATATAAGTATAGCTGTTCCTGCTTTCTTTTTTGGCCCATTTGCTTGTAGGATTGTTTTCCATCCTTTGACTTTGAGCCTATTTTTATCTTTTGTAGCTAAATGTGTTTCCTGGAGACAGCAAAAGGTTGGGTTTGTTTCTTAATCCAGGCTGCAACTCTGTGTCTTTTTATTGAAGAGTTTAGTCCATTTACATTTAGAGTTAATATTGATATGTTAGCATCTGTATTTGCCATTATGTTTGTCTTTCCTTTGATTTTATTTATTTATTCTTTTAATAACTTTTTTTTTTTTTTTTGGTCTTCTTTCGTTGTTATTCGTCCCTCTGAGGTTCTGGCTTTAGGATTCCTTGTAGTATTTTTTGGAGTGGGGGTTTAGTCGCAATGAAATTCCGGAGTTTCTCTTTGTCTGGGAAGGTCCATATTCTTTCTTCATGGAGGAAAGAGAGCTTTGCGGGATAGAGTATTCTTGGTTGGCATCTGTTTTCTTGGAGTCTGTTGACTATGTCCCTCCACTCTCTCCTTGCCCGTAGTGTTTCTTCAGAGAAGTCTGATGTCAGCCTGATTGGTTTTCCTTTGAATGTTATCTGTTTCTTCCCTCTTGTCAGCTTCATTATTTTTTCCTTGTCCTGGATTCTTGGGAGCTTTACTATTATGTGTCTTGCTGTGTTTTTCCTTTCGTCGTGGAAGTTTGGTGTTCTTCTTGCTTCTTATATATCAATTTTCAGCTCCTTCTTCTCATTTGGGAAGTTCTCTTCAATTATATCCATGAATATTTTCTCTGTTCCTACATCTCTCTCCTCTCCTTCTGGAATTCCTATAACTCTTATATTTCCTTTCCTCATGGAGTCAGATAGTTCCCGAAGTCTTTCTTCATTCTTTTTCCTTCGTACTTCTCTTTCCTTTTCTGTTTTGGTTCTTTTTATTTCTGTGTCTTCAAGATTACTTATTCGTTCTTCCATTTCATCTATTCTGCTTTCATTGCTTTTCCCAGAGTTCTTTAGTTCCTCCATTAATTCTTTGATCTCCTGCATTTCTCTTACTTCCCTCTTTAGGGACTCAATTTCCTTTTCTGATCTATCACTTTTTTAATCATGGCAATTTTAAATTCTCATTCTGGAAGGCTCAGAAGTTCTTCCAAGTTGCTGTCGTTGCAATCTGGGGAGTGGTTTTCTTTTTGTGGTGTGCTTCTTTCCTGAGGAGTTGTTAGGTTGCGTGTGGTTCTTCTACTCCCTACTGTCTGTTTTCTAATTTGTCGTATGCGTTGGGACACTGTGTTGCTCGGACTGACTGACATCTTGGGTGAACTTCTCCGCTCCCCTCTGGCTCTTCCAGGAGCCATCTCTGTCTTCTGGGGGAGCTTTCTGCTGGTTTTAGGCAGTTTTTACTGAAGAAATGTCCCTGTTCTCAAATGGCGAAGCGGGATGCAGTCCCTGCGCCTCAGGTTTCAGGCACACTCTTCTGCGCCCCCGGTCTGCCCCGGACGTGGGTGCCTGCTCCCTCTGTGGGCTCAGACTGCTGGTCGGAAGGGGCCTGGCGTGGAATAACTTCCCGGCTGGCCACTGGGTCCTCCAGAAACCTTCTGCCCTTTTCAAGCAGTCTTAAGAAATGTCCTGTTTTATGGGGTGTTAGTGACTTTTTTTTTTCCTGGTCGCTAGGTGGCGCCAGAGATCTCTCCTATTGGCCTTGGGGGGCTGTTTTTCGCCTCCCCCCACCCCGTGGGACAGAGAACAGAGCGGGAATGGTAGGGTACACCTCAACAGCTTTGGGGTGCTGTGTCTGCCTTGTGCCCCACCGTCGTGGAGAAACCACGCCCTGAATTTTCGTGCCCCGGGTCTCAGTTCAAAGCCCTCAGTTCCAGGACGGGGGCTGTAGCCCAGATCAGTGGCGCGGGAATGGCGCCTTTTGCACTGCTCCCGTGCCTGGGCGCCTGGTTCCTGCTCACTCAGGGAGGGACCTTCACCTCAGTGAGGACCTCAGTGTGTCTCCCCGCAAGCCTAGGTCGCAGGCGCGGGGACCTGGGCAGCCGCGATCCAGGTCTGCACTTGCTTTTCAAGCTCCCCGAGTGAGCCGCTTTCCCGAGCCAGCTTACTGGCAGCCCGGGCTGGGTGCGCGTCTCCCGGGGTCTTTGTTCTTCTCTAATGGCGCCAGGAGCCGTTCGCTCACCGCCGTGGCGGATCCTGCAGGGTTCGCCTCAGCTCCCGTTCACGGGGTGTGGTGGCTGCAATAGTTCCTTTCCACTCCCAGTCCTGCTTGCTGCGTAGTTTGTTCTTGTGGGCCGTTTTGGTTTGTTGTTTCCTCCTCTCTGCTGGTTGGAGAGTGCCGCCTCTGTGGCGGGGGAGGGGAGCAGGGTTCTGAGCTTCCCTCCCTTCTCGTCCTCTTTTATGGCCACTTTCTTCTTCCAACACTTGTTTTTAATATGTGACATTCTCACAGGTCTGAGATGACAGCACATTGTGGCTTTGACCTGCATCTCCTTTATTAAAAAGGATGGTGAACATTTTTCCATGAAACCATCTTCTGGATATCCTCTCTGGTGAGTTGTCCATTCAAATGTGCTGCCCCTTTCTTAATTGGACTGTTTGTTTGTTATTGTTCAATAAGTTTTTTGGATATCTTGATATTAACCCCTTGTTGGTTGTAATGTGTAAATATTTTTCTCATATTCAGTAGGGTATATTTTTAATCTGCTTGTATTTTTCTTTCTCTGTGTTAAATTTTTTTTAATTTGTGGTAATTCCAATTGTTTATTTTTGCTTTTATTTCCTTTGCTGTAGGGATCAAGTCTCCAAAAACATCTTTACTATTGATGTCATGAGATATACTACCATTGTTTTTTTTTTCTATAGAAGTTCTTAAACATTCCATATATTCTAGCATTTCTTTGAAGTTTTCATAATTTTTATTCTCTTCTTGAATTCATTTTATATTCATTTATTGCTTCTGTTTTCCAGATCACTTGTATTTTTCATTTTCAATTTATGTTGGCCACCATGTTTTTAATTTCCAAGAAGTTTTTTATATTTATTTTTAAATTAGCTTGTATTTGTTTTATGGATCCTTTATTGTACTAATTCAAATAAAGATACCAATTTTTTTAAACTGTTCTCATTTTTTTGTATTAACTTTTATTGGAGACCATTTGTTCTGATTGCCCTTGTTTCCCTGTCTTTAAGATGGCCAGTTCCCTTATATATATAAAAGTGCAGTCTACAATGACTTATTTGTTCCTGGTCAGGAATCTCTCTTGTCTTGAAGTCACTATTTTCTTTTCCAGATAGGTAGCTCCTAAAGCCAGGAGAGGGTTGGGGGCTCTGTGGTCAAGCTTTGCCATGGGCTTAGTGCATGGGCAGTAAATGCCAACAGGTAGATTTCTTTTAGGGTTTGTGGGTTAAGAACAAACTAATAAACTGTGATGCCCATAAACAAACTGATACCTGGGTATCAAATCCCCAAATTGACTTTGCTTTGAATTAACTTTGTAACAGCGACTGAGAACTATAGTAATACTTAATACATAATAGTTATGTATAACTAATACATAATAGTAATACATAATACATAATAGTAATACATAATAGTTCCATCACCCTAAGAATTCTTTTGTGTAGTCATTGTAATCACTCCCTGTTTTTGTCCCTAACCCCCTGGCAAACTTTGATCTATTTGCCTCCTCCATTAGTTTTACCTCTTCTAGAATATCATATAAATGCAGTTTTATAATATGTCACCTTTAGGTGTGGCGTCTTTGAGTTACAAAATGCCTTTTAAGATTTCATCTGTGTTATTGCCTATATCAGTGGTTCTTTCCTTTTTTCTTATGTATGCCCTTGTATGGCTGTACCACTGTTTTATCTCTTCACCCACTGAAGCACACAGTAGATGTTTCCTGGTTGGAGTGGTTATGACTACATTTGTTATGAACATTTGTGTTCAGATTTTTGAATGTAAGTCTTCAGTACACTTGAGTAAATTACTGGATGCTAGGGTAAGGATTATGTTGACCTTTAAAATAAACTGCTGAACTTTTCCAAAGTGGCTATACCATTTTGCAAACATTAGAAGTGTTTGCAGCATTCGGTATGATATTATCATAAAATTTGATTGATGTGTAATGAACTATTCCCAGATTTAAGATACCCAGTTTTCTCTCTCAGGGTTTACCTTTTTGAAACTATGCTGATACTGTTCTGAATAAAATGTTTGCTAGGCTACACAGAACTATGCCATAATAAAAAGAATGATGAACTTGAATTAATAACAACTGAAAACTTTTCACAAGATATCAAATAAATGGAAAGATAAGAAATGGGAGAAAATATTTGTAAAATATTTCCTGTAAAAAGAGTTTGTATCTGAAATGATAATTCAATAATAAGAAACTAAAACCTGGTTTTTAAAATGGGTAAAATAGATATTTCACTAAAGAAGATACAAATAGCAAATGAAAACATAAAAATATATTCTATTTCATTATCAGTCAATTGAGAAATGCAAATTAATATCATGAGCTATCACCACCCATCCACTGACATGGCTAAAGACTATTAGTTATTGACAAACTGTGGAACTACCAGAACTCATATGTTTATATTTTATAAATGTAAAATGCTAAACCATTTTGGAAACATTTCGGCACTAGAAATAACCCAAATGTCTATTAATATAGGTGAATGGCTATGTCCATCTAATTAGTGGCTTTCAGCAGTAATAGGGAACAAACTACTGATATACACAGCATGTGTAAATTTCAAAATTATGAGCAAAATAATATAGACACAAACATGTACATACATATCATCTCACTTATATGTAACTTTTGGGCCTCTCCTGTGGCGCAGCGGTTGAGCGCTGGGCTGCGAAGCTGCCCGCAGCCTCTGCAGCGCCAGTTCAATCCCCGGCTGCCGGGCGAGGGCCCCACATGGCACGCAGACCTCTCCTGCTGCCTGCTGCTCCCCTCAGCAGAGTGTATTTCACCAGTCTGCCTGTTCTGCTCCCCGCTCTGGCTCTGGTGAATTCTCTCACCCTCCAGCGCTTCTGACTGTACCCAGTGCTTGTATAAATAAATAAATAAATAAATCTTTAAAAAGTATATATATATATATATATGTAACTTTTGAATAAAAGATCTGATTTATAAGAAGCAGGTCAGTTTTTATCTGGCACAGGATGTGGATTGGTAATTGGAAGGTGGCACCAGGGAACCTTTTAGGCTGATGGAAATATTATGTATCTTGGTTCTGGTGGTGGTTAGATTAGTATATGTCTTTGTCAGAACACATTGAACTGTACACTTAAAACTCAGTACATTTTTTGCAATGTAAATTTTACCCTAAAGTTGGGCCTCCCCGGTGGCGCAGCGGTTGAGCGCTGGGTTGCAAAGCTGCCCGCGGCCTCTGTGGCGCCGGTTCGATCCCCGGCTGCTCCCCGTCCACTGGAGGAGGGTCCCGCATGGCGCGCAGACTTCTCCTGCCGCCCGCTACTCCCCTCAGCAGTGTACTTCGGTCCTTCTGCCTGCTCTGCTCCCCGCTCTGGCTCTGGTGAATTCTCTCACCCTCCCGTGCTTCTGACTGTACCCAGTGCATGTATAAACAAAAACAAACAAATAAATAAATAAAACATGCCTCAAAAAAAAAAATTTTACCCTAAAGTTAATTTATCATATTGCATCATCTTCCTTAATTGTTCTTTTAGCTTGTGTGGCTAGCAGTGATGTACCTGTGATCATGTATTTTTGTTAGGAAGGCTCACTGTAATTCAATATATTTTAGGTAAAATGCTCTATTTAATGTACAAAAATATATAACTAGTGTTAAAGTAAATTCACATTTACTTTATGATATTAATAATTAGATTCCCCTCCCTTCAGTGAGTCCCTTAAAATTGTCCTCTACCAGATATCCCTAATTTTTAATATCCTAAGTTTTAGTTAAATATATATTGTGTATCTACTGAAGATTTAGGGTTATTCTAAAACCATAGATCTTCTACTTCATATGGTTTATCCTTCCCATCATTAAACAGTGATGAAAATGGTAACATATAGATAATATAGCTTAGTGGCAACTGTATCAAAGGCACTTTATATTGTTATACCCTTGTAACTAGATACATGTCTGTCCTTGTCACTTTGTGAGGGGAAGAGTATAGATTTGTTGTATCAGAAAATCACCATTCACTTACCCTAAAGCTTTTTTTTTTTTTTTAACATTGATTCCTTAATTCTTTTTCCTTACTACTAAAAAATTGCTTAGGAAATATTTCATGAGTTTAAATATGACTATTAAAGTCTAGGAAGGAGAGGAAAGAGAAAATGTTTTGCAGAACTAGCTTTTATTAAGTTCTGGTTAAATTGATTTTAAACCGATTCCTTGTTTTCCAACAAATACTTTACTACTTTGACTGTGTGGGCACCTCTTGTTTCAACCTGGCCATTTATTCATTAATTAATTATTCATTAATTCAGAAAAGTTTTGAAGAATCCACTGTGTTCCATACTTTTTTGTGGGTATTTTTTTTATTATTTTTTTAAATTTTTAATTTTTTTATTATTTTTGTGGGTATTTTGTTTCTTAGGAGAATATCACTTCAATTTTCAAAATTTCTCCTCTGCCTTTCATTTTTTCTTCCTGTTTGGGTCTTCACCTTCTCCCTCTGTTTAATTTACCTGGATTTTCAAGAAGCTCTGAAACTGTATAGGAGCGCTAGAATTCTCTCTGTTCATCCACTTGATTCAGTTAAGAACTCTACCCATTTGTTCTATATTAGAGCCTTTTTCATTAAAGATTGCAATCATAATAAAAATGTTTTAACTGGAGGAGAATTTACTTAGAGGAGGAAAGAGACACATAAAACCTTAATTTTCCACCCCTAGTAGTATTACTAATGACTGTTACATTTTTTTCAAAATAGTACATTAGAGCATAAATGCTTGTGATGAAGAAAAAGGGATGCTTTTGCTAGCACTTGACTTTTGCTCCTCCCTACCATATCTAATACTAGAATTAACCTATTATTTTACCTTCCCTCTGACATTATTTCTTCATTTGGCCTGTCTCTTCCCTCTTGCTCTTAGGTAATCCCTTTTTAAAAAGAATTTCTTTTTCATCCATAGTTTTCTAGTTCTCCATAATCACCTAGGGTCTTAACATAGATTTGGAGTGTTTAAAAAATCATTGTAGTTGAGAAAAAAAGCTTTCTTTTACCTCTCCAATCATTTCTTTCATGAATCTTTCTTTAATTTCAATCAGAGTTTCTTTGTGGGCAAGGTCAAGTTTCTTTTATGTATTCATGGGCTGCTTTTGTACTAACAGAAGTTACTACTTTTTTATATTCTCTTTGAACAGTAAAATTTCAATATGTATACAGTTCCTTATTGGATTGCTTCAAAGAAAGTCATACATTTGATTCTTACCTATTGTATTTCAGTTTTTATTACTCATTTTCCCCCACCCCCTCTTTTTTCTATATCAAGATATGGAACTTTTTTGCAGTCTATATGTGCCTTATCTTAGAGAGTCTCTGGTTCTTTTCTGT